CAAGACACTTGGGATGAAGGAGCAGTTGGCCTGGCTGTGGTGTCCCCTGGCAGTTGGGGAGGCAGTGTGGAATGGTTCTGAAACCAGTGCAGACATCTGCAGTCCAAATACCGAGGACCACCCCCACGTCACTCAAAAAGCCCAGTAGACGTGGGTTTGTGTGCAGCCAACCTGCGCCCGGTGTTGCTGGAGCTCCACCCTGCCCACAGAACATGATGAAACCTGGCACATGAATTGTTGTGACGTTCCAGGCAGTGCCGCCTGAGACCTCTGACCTCTGCCCCCCCAGCCCTCAGGTTACAGCAAAAGGAACCAAGTAAGAAATTCACCATTTAGTTTTATTTATTTTTTGAACATTATATTGGGATCTGGGTGAAAGTTTACATGGCAAACTCACTTCCCATCCCACAATTTAGACCCATTTCATTCGGTGCCATTGGCTGCAATCCCTCAGTGGGTCAGCATTCTCCCCACTTACTCCCTGGGTTCCCCGCTTCCATCCTTTCGGCCCCTTCCTGCCTTGTGAGGTTTGTTGTTAAGTGCCGTCATTTCCGACTCATAGCAACCCCGTACAGTGTCCGAGGAGTAGCAGGTGAGCTTGAACCACCGGCCTTGCCGTCCAGCGCATTAGCCCACAGCACCACACCAGGAGTGGGGGCAGATACTACCCTTGTGGAAATTTGCCATCTTAACCGTTTTTAAGTACACACTCCAGTGGGATTAACTATACCTACGGTGTTGACCAACCAACGACCATCCATTTCCAACATGGTTTCCCCCCCATCCCCCGCCCTTGGGTCCCCAGACAAGACACTCCTGAACTCTAGCCTCTACATTTGCCTACCCTAGATGTCTCAGGTGAGAGAGCCACACATGGTGTCTGGCCCCCTGTGACTGATTCATTCCACTTGGTGTGCCCTTCATCCATGCGGTGGAATGTGCTAGGTCTCCAGTTCTTTGGGGCCGAGTGGGTGAGATTCCGTTGCAGGGACACTTTGCTTGTCTGTTGATAGACACAGGTTGCTGCCACCCTTGGGTGTTACAAACAGTGCTGCTGAGCACAGAGGTGTACACGTCCAAAGCTTGCCCGTGGACACAGGAGTGGAAAAGTCCTCCTGCTATGGCCTGGCGGTCAGTCCTCCAGGGGTAGTCCCACTGGGGTCCAGGTCAAACACACCTGACCCTCTGAGGACTCCACACAAGTTACAAGGATGGCCAGCAGGTGGCACCAGCCACATCAGCTAGCTGTCTGGAGAGTGGGTCCCAGACACTGAAGTTGAGCTGAGCCCCACCCCAGAGCTGACCAAGAGGAAGACAGGGTAGAGATCTTACTAGACATCCAAGGCCACATTGGGAGAGGTGAAGCCAGGCCCCCTGGGAGCTGCACTGTGTTCCCCACTGGAAGTCATCTTACAGGTGCCAGACAGATGCTAGTGCAAGTGTGGTGAGACCACCGAGGTGGGGCGGACCCCTGCTCCCCGATTACAGTAGTGCGTCCAGCTGCTACCATCAAGCATCTCCAGGCAGCAGGAACTCTGTGACCATCCCCTGAAGGCTCACTTCCTCTCCCACCACCCACACCCACCCCCAGGCCACACAGCCTGAGCCCTGGAGGACAGGGGCAGGTAGGTCAGGAAATGAGGCGGGGTTCTGCAGTGTCTCCTGAAGACCTGTATGCTGCACACCTTGTTCTGGGCCCTGAACGAACTGAGTCCGCACCGGGGCAACCCCATGAGGATCTGAGTGGGCAAGGCAGTGCGAAGTCCAAGCCCCACCTGGGGGATGGTGGCCCCTGGTGGAAGGAAGGGTTTCTTGCAGTGGGTGTTGAAGGGCATGTAGGAGCTCTGCAGGGACAGGGAGGAAGAGGATAAATGAGCTTCGGACAAGGTGTGAGAACAGACAGAGGAGTTGGAGGGAACAGGTGGCTTTAAGCAGGTTCCCCTTCCCCCAGTGGGCTCTGGTCAGCCTGGCCATCTCCAGGAGCCAGTCTGGGAGAAGATGAACCGTAATAACCACGTCCTCAAATCCTCCTCTTTCATCCCCTAACGCTTCTGAGCTTATGACTCTCCAGGGCCGAGTACCCGGTTAGCAAGGTAAGCACAGAATGACTTGTGCTTACTCTCAGTCATTTCACATGGGTTCCACGACATCTGTGTCTGTCCACTGCAGATTAGTAAGTAAGCACAAAGAACCAATGCTTATCTTTCTTACTGGGTCCTGCATCGGCGTAGGGGGCCTCTGAGTCTCCCAGAATTCAAGTCCAATGGACTTACCAACTAAACCTCCCCTAGTGCTTCCCCACCCAGACCTCGGGGTTGAATATAAAGACTTGATCCGTCCACGCGGAGCGCGCTTCGCTTCTCCCAGGAAAGGGCGGTACCAGCTTTCCCCCCCACCTCCAGGTACGCGTGCAGTCACCATCCAGGTGTCCTCACCTGCTCCCCTGCACCTCCCAACCCCGTCCCGTTCCCCCTGAATTTCAGGGTCACGGCTTGTCCCCCCCGCCCCCCCGAGTCTCCCTGTACCACCACCATAGTCCTTTCCCCAGGACTCGGGGCACCCCCGCGGATCCCCACGGGTCCTGCTCATCTGCCTCATCTGGCTTCACGGCCGGCAAGCTGCAGATTCTTCCAGACGCGTCCCCGGGCTCGGGACATCAGGGCTGGGGCTCGGGCACTGTAAGGTCAAGGGTTCCCCCGGGACGAGAGGAAACACGCGCACGTACCGCCCTCCCGGACTCCGGACGCACCTGGGTCGGCGCGCACAGCGTAGCCATCTGCGCTTGCGCAAGACAGGCTCCAGCTCGGCGGCATACGTGGGGCGACGCCTAGGGCCGCTCGCAGCGCACGCACGCACGCCGTCCTGGAAGCGCCGAGTTCCGGGACGCCAGAGTAGAACCACGAGGGGGGCAGGGAGACGCTGCAAGGCGCGGGGCGAGCTGGGGTTGGGGGGGGGGAGCTGAGGAGCGCCCTACGGTGGCCGCAGAGGGACGTGCTACGGCGCCCACGTTGGGCCAAACGCTGCCGCCGGCCGGGTCCCGGCGCCCCATCATCTATGAGGTGGTCCTGGGCGGGGACACGTAAAGCCGGCCAGTGACCAGACCCCGGCGCCCTGCGCCCTCGCACTGACCGGCGCTCCGCTGCACCATGCGGCTGTCCTGCTATCCGCGTCCCGAGGGACACGGGATCCCGCAGCCCCGGTCCCCAGCATCGTCGCCGGCCTCCCCAGTGGCTCGGGACGCCGGCGCCGCCGCGGAGAGGGCACCCGGTGAGCGGGCCGGGGTGGCTAAGGGACTTGCTCAGGGCGATGGGCGAGCGGCCGGACTGCGCCGAGGGCGGAAGTGGCGGCGGGCCAAGCGAGCCGTCTCCAGGGCAACGGGCCGGGCGGGACCCGGAAGTGGCTGGGGGCCCGGGACCTGGAGTGCCCGGGTGGACCGTGGTCCAGGAACGGCGCATGGGGCCCGGGGCTGCGGCGAGCGGGCCGAGATGAACCAGCAGCGATTCAAGCTGTTTACACGCAGCTCGGCTTCCTAGGTCTCCCCCGAAGGACATCATCCTCGTTAAAAATGAGGCGGGGAAGCTATAGGGAACCCTACCCGAGTGTCCTAGGGACCCAGGGAGCTGCCTGGGGGGCCCCGCCGTGTTCCCCCACCCCACGTGCCGCAGTGCCACCTGCACCAGCCCGGGACGGACCAACTTGCAGTGGTGTTTAGAGCCATGTGTTTACTAGTCAGTGTGACCAGGTGGTGCTGAGAGAGCACAGCTCTCTGCGAGTGATGGAATTTGAGGTTTCTACCGCCCCGGCCCCGGACTCTGCGGAGGGAGAGGCTTGGAAGTGAATGGCTTGAAAAAAGCAGCCATCCCTGGGGTTAAGTTTTCTTAGAAAAGCGTTCTCATTGGAGGACGGTAAAGAAATGACGCCGGGGGAGGGGAGCGGAGAACCCACTCCAGGCCACTACGGAAAGGGCAGGGTCTCTGGGTGGCTAACCACCGCAGGCGCCCCCTCCTCCTTGTGCCACGGACGGCCACTAGGGGTCACTAGAAGGGTCTCAACCTGCTGTCTTCCTTAGATCTTACACCCCTGTACTTTCATTTCCTACTTGGTTCCCACCCACAGATGACTTAGGTGAGTTGCAAACGGCATGTATTAGGTGGAAACAAAATCACCTGCTATTTCTGAGGAAAAAAACCAAACCCATTGCTGCCCAGTCAATTCCAACTCATACCGCCCCAGTTGGAGTGGAACTGCCCCACAGGATTTCAGAGGTTGTAAATCTTCGTGGAAGCCTACCGCCACATCTTTCCCCTTTGGATTGACTGATGAGTTCAAAGATTGGACCTTTGGGTTAGCCGCCAAGTGTTTTTAAACGAGGCGCCACCGTGACTCTTCTGACTTTTAGAACCTCTGGCCAACAGCATGGACCTGGTCAGTGGTGGCCTGTTGCCCATGGTAACAGCACTAGCTGGGATCCCCACGGCTTTGTTAGCCCTCTACCGGGAGGCAGCGTTAGTGCTGCCCTGTGTGACCCATCAGGGGCCATTCTCAGTGACTCCACACCAGGATCTAGGCCCAGCAGGTATGATCCTGAGCCCAAACCTGCTGCGTGCCCCACCCCGCCCCCCACACTGATAGATCACTAGTTCTTCCACCTGTGGACACCGTCCCCTGCATCCTGGTCCCCTGTGAGTGGACTGCGGGAAGCCTGTGATCTCAGCTACAGATGGTCAGGAGTCCACCCGAAGAGTGAGGGTGACCGCCTGGCTCATGGCCCGTGTCAGCGTCAGAACGGGCCTGGGGACCTTGGTGCTTCTACTAGGATAGGGAGGGGAGAGTACTTCTGGTTTAGCAAGTTGGTGGACATATGTGACAGAGAGGACCGGTGTGCTGATTGGCCCCTCTCCTGCCCTCTCCCTTGCAGGTCAGAGCCTCCCCGGAGCCTCAACCAGGGGCTCCCGGGCCTAGGCATCCATGCCTCCGCCGCTGACCACCTCCTGGCCCCGATGCCGGTCATCCCCATCCCGCGGCGGGTGCGCTCCTTCCACGGCCCGCACACCACCTGCCTACACGCGGCCTGCGGGCCCGTGCGCACCTCCCACCTGGTGCGCACCAAGTACAACAACTTCGACGTCTACCTGAAGACACGCTGGCTGTACGGCTTCATCCGCTTCCTATTGTACTTCAGCTGCAGCCTGTTCACGGCGGCGCTGTGGGGCGCGCTGGCGGCACTCTTCTGCCTGCAGTACGTGGGCGTGCGGGCGCTGCTGCGCTTCCAGCTCAAGCTCTCCGTGCTGCTGCTGTTACTGGGCCGCCGGCGCGTCGATTTCCGCCTGCTCAACGAGCTGCTCATCCACGGCATTCACGTCACTGTGCTACTGGTCGGCGGTTTGGGCTGGTGCTTCATGGTCTTCGTGGACATGTGAGGTGGGAGGTCTGCGGCGTGCAAGGGCAGCTTCAGCACAGGAGATGAAAGAGAACAGAGCTGAGACTTGTATCTGCAAAGGGAGCCAGGCCAGGTCCCCTTGTCTTTCTGCAGTTAATGGGTGACCTCACCTATCACGCACCTGCGACTCCTGTCCACGCTTATTCAGGTCTTGGAGTGGAGCCGCCCAGCTGTCTGGTTCCCCAGCCCCTCTCCGGACCACATCTGACTCCATTTGACCCATCCTCAGCCTGTGAGAGCCCCTTAGTCCCTGGGCGGGGGTGCAGCCAGATGCAAACCCAAGGGTCCGGTGTCCGTTCCACCCCTGCTGGCCTCACAACCCCTCCACTGACTGACCACTGCATTGCCACCAATCTCTGTCCCCTCTAGCGCCCAGCATCCCCCACCTCCTGTCCCCAGTACCCTGGCACAGCGCTCTGTCCCCATCTGAGGGGTGACTGTACTCACGGCCTGCCTGAATCCCCTTCAGGTCTCAGGGTCATGGGTTTCCTTAGACCTCAGGTAGCCTAGGCTAGTTCCTTGTTCGGGCCCAGGTCCCAGCTCCATGTCTGCTACTGCAGGCTGTGAGTCCAGTCCCACTGGCCTTAGGGTCCTCTCTGACGGAAGGGCATGCCCCAGCTACATTGTCAGTCCTGGGAGTGGCATGTGGGGGTGCCCACCCAGACCCCTCCAGGGAGTCAGCGAGGGCAGCAGGCCTGTGGGTGCAGACCTGCTCCTCTGTCCTGCCTTGGTGGTCCTCTGGGGGTGAGAAGAAAACCCCAGCAGAGGGGTGGGAGTGCTGCCCAGGAAGGAGCTGAAGTGAGAAGAGCCCCCCTCCTCAGAGGCAGTGTCCCCGAGCTGTGGTGATGGCTGGCCGTGTGACTCAGGGACAGTGTGCACACTTTGACAAGTGTAAGGGGCCTCAGAGACGTCACTGGGATGATAGGCACACAGGTAGGTGACCACCCCCACCTCCCAGGCAGGCCAGGGGCCACCGTTAGAGAAACCTCGAAAACCATAAATCAGGCAGAGAAAGCAAAAAACCTTGGCTGCAGCCCTACTCGGGTCGGCCTCTGCTCCGTGTCCCCGGTGCTGGATTCGTCTGAGCCACCACTGTGACACTTTTGCACTAAATCCAGCCGATTCCTAGAAAGCATGTCCATTGTGTCAGTCACCCTCATTGCTCAGGTGCACAAAGCCCTCCCCAAGGAGGGTGTAGCAGGCTGAGGGGGGCATTGTTCTGGGGACAGTCCCCTCCCACTTACCTGACACGGCACCTGAGTGCCTGTAAAATTCTCAATGAAGTGAACCACCTGCATTAAACTTATTTTCCTAACATGTGGGGAGTGACTGCTTCAAGCCCAGCCGCCCTTAACTATTTGTTATTACTGATTGTTAAGAAGATAGATACACAGCAAGACAGACACCGTTCAAGTTCCTACACGTGGAACTCAGGGACGCTGGTTACACTCGGGTTGGGCATGCATTCTCACCCCCCTCTTCTGAGTGATTCCTCCCCCAGGACAGGAATCCACAGCCCCCTGAGTGTCCTAGCTACTCTTTGCAGTTGCTGTGGTCAGTTTGATCAGACTGATGCCCTTTTTTGGAGGATATAATAATGAACCGACAACACCGCACCCACAGGTGTTGTCACCTGCCAACTTGGTGACAGTTGATCAACTCAAGTTAGCTGTGCAAGTGTGCGCTGATGTGATGGCTACAAAGGGCACCACTGGCCCTGAGGCCACTGTGAGGACCTGCCCTGCATCTGTCAGAATGACAGAATTAAGTGCTGACCCTAGGGGGCATCTGCTTGGAAGTCCAAAAGACAGGAATGACCTCTCTGAATGCAGTGAGCACTTGGTTTTGGGGAAGGCACAGATGCACAGAAAAAAACTGGGAGAAAAATATACCCGAGCAGAGCTGCAGACCTCCTTCAGCCAGGAGGCAGTTTGGAAAAGGAGCCCGCCCTACCTTGTGTGAAAGGGAAATCAGTGGGTCTGTACATTCCCCAGGCAAGCTTCTCTCTCCCAGTGTGATAAAACGGCGGTCCTTCAGAAAGCATCACGGAATGGGTCCATATCCCTATCACTTCTGGAGTTTGTGTGGCACCAGAGAGGAGCAGTGCAAGTCACTTTGGGGTGTGGCATATGATGGTGAGAATTCCCACAGCCTAACAGGAAGGGGGTTGAGCGACCAAGGGCCTTCTACACTCCTGGGGTTGCAATTTGGGCGCCGGGAGGAGGCCATGAGCAGCTGGCCTTGAATCCATAAGGGACACGCACACAAGAGTCACAAATGTACTCGAGCGCACGCACCCATTTTTATACAGTGAAAACGGGGGGGGGGGGGAGTGAAAGTCACTGTAACACCCCCAGATGGTCAACTGAGCAATGTCCACCTGCCCTGCCTGGACAGGAAGGGAGGCTGTAGCTGAGTGCACGGTAGACCAGCCACTGCCCGAGGGGGCCGCCGGAAAAGTCCCCACCCCACCAAAGCTGGAATGAGTTGCGCAGCCCCCAAGGATCAGGCTGCTCTGCAGGCGCGCGCTCACTGATATTGATGTTCCCTGACCTTGAGCGAGTCCTGCCCCTTCCGGCATGTGATTGGAGGAGAGGGACGGCAGCGCTCAAAGCTGATTCAGCATTTTCCGGAGGGAAACTTGCTTCCATCTGCAGAGAAGCCGCGGTGTGTCTGCCCTTCCTTCCCTGCTGCCCTCCTCCCGGAGGGTCCCACACCTTGAGAGCCAGCCCACTGCACCACCGTCCGAACTCTCCTCCAGCTTGGTGGGCAGCGGCCGGTTCGGCTCTGCAGGAATGGCTTTCCAGAAAAACCCCAGCAGTCTGGCACGCCTCCTCACAGTTCCCAAAACAGCCCGCCCCGCGGGCCCTGGCAGCTGATTCAGCGCCGCGCCCTCCCCCCGCCAGCTGGCCGCGTGCCCGAGCCTGCTGCAGCTGTGGCCCGGGCGCGCTCACTCACGGGCCGCCCCGCGCCCTACGGCTGGGGGCTGGGTGCTGCTCAACACCTGAAGACTAGGGGCTTGGGGCGCCACCCGGGGCCTGAGCGCTGGGGAGCAGCCTGCCTGGCACCCACCCTGCTGGGCCAACCTCTCAGATGCAGTGGCAATTACCAGCTCCTTGGGCGCTGACAGAGCCCTGGGACCCACGTGTCTTAATCCAGTCCTAATACACTGAACCCCCACCCCCAGACTGCAGCTCCCAGTCCCAGCTCAGGCATCCTTCCTGGAGCCAGTCCAACTGCAGCCATCCGCCATGCTGGCCATGGTGCAGGAAAGCAGGGAGGGGCAGGGCCCTGGAGAGGGGGACACAGCAGGGACCAACCACAGTGATACAGTGGGTTCATACCTGGTGGGGGAGGGAAGGGGAGCGAGGTGGGAATGGGGTAAGGAGGAGGGATGGGTGTGAGGAGGAGGGGGTGGGAGAAGCTTGCATGGAGGGAGTGATGGGGAGGCATGAAGGCCACACATGGAACTGTGAATGGCAGTCGTCACAGGGAGGGCTGTGGTGCCCTGGGGAGAGCTGATCCAGTGAGTCAAGGAGCAGATGAGGTCAGGTAGGAAATCACACCTGAGCCACTGCTGGGGTGGCGATGCCCCTGGAAGGGGATGACCTTAAGTGTCCAACACGACCCTGTCAGTTGGCCTTAGGACTGGGCTCCGCCCCTCCTCTAAAGTTAATGCAAGTCCAGGCTGAGATGCACAGGTCCCTCGCAGGGCGTGCACACAAGGAGAGGTGGCTCTAGACATGTGTCCCCTTGGGCAGGGGCCCCACCTGCCTCAGGACAGGCCTGGACTGCTCAGGACCGGTTGCAGCCAGCCCCCGGCCTAGAACTAATGACATCACTACCCCTGCAGCCTGGGGGGGTCCAGGAAATGGGGGGGGTGAGGGACCCAGAAGAGGGCTGGCTCTCTAGTGCTACTCCCACCTCGGATCTGTGGTCCAGGCCCCTTGGTTGAAGCAGTGCCATGTGACCAAGCATCTCATAGGCACACCTGCCCCCCTCCCAGTGTGGAAATATTTCTGCTGACCTCACCTTCCCCACACGATGAGGGGAACGGACCTCAGCTGGCCAGCACTCACTCTCCTTCATGCGTGTCACCCTGGTTCCGTCATCACCTGTCCCAGGGCCTCCATGTGAATGGGGACAGGGACCCTGAGTGGGAAGGACAGTTCTCCTCGGGGGCAGCTGCTGACCTGCAGAGCCTGGCTGTTGAGGATGGGGGTCAGTCCCAAGTCTCTGTCCTCGGCAGCTCAGATAGGTGCAGTCCCGTGATGACACAATAGCTGAAGAATGAATACAGAATTCACGGCAGCGGCACCGTGACATGAGGTAACATGCATTCTTTGGGTGGTTTTCCAGTTGTGCTGTGATAACTCTGGCTCCCCTAATGCATCTGAGCGTCCTAATAAACACGTGACCTTCCTTAATGCCTTGCAGAGCTACAGAGGCTGCCCCAGTGTCCCCCCAGGGGCATCAGGACCAGCCAGAGGGTGCTCACCCACCCACTGCTGGCTAGATGTGGAGGGGCAGATGTGCATGCTGAGTGCTGGGGTGTGTGTGTGTGTGTGTGCAGTGTGTGTGAGCACTCATGTTTTCCACTGCCCTCCCTGAGCTGCCCATGTCCACCCAGAGACCACCAGTGCCCCTCTCGTATTCCCTGGGGCAGGGGTTTGGGCCTGAGGTTGAGGGAGACCACTCGGTGTCCTCTGCAGGCTTCTTCCCTGTTCATATCTGGAAATCAGAGTGGGCACAGCCAACTGCAACACAGTTGGAGGCAGAAGATGCTGTTGGGACTGGTGGTAGTAAAGTGTGTGGTTCTGGGAACAGGCAGCAGGCAGGGGGTGGGCAGGGTTGCTAGGTGGGATCTTCACCTAGTCACAGCCCCCAGAGGACCTGCAGGGGAGCCAGCTCCAGGAGGCAGAACTGGGGCATGCTCGTCCTTAGGGCGGATGTCGCTAGTACCACCTGCCCTAGGGGCCC